GGCTACACACCCCTTAATTCGAACTAGCTAGTTCGAACTAGGCTTAATCCTCATAAAATGAGGTTTTCCTAGTTTGAACTAAGCGCTCCGCTAGTTCGATTTAAATTCGAACTAGCGGAGCGCTAGTGTAGCGCCTATTAAAGTTGATTCGAACTAACGTCTTTTAGTGCGAATTAACTTTGTAGTGTAGACATACCCCTAGTGACAGATGATGTGGGGAAAGCTGAAGTACTCAATGCTTTCTTTGCCTCTGTATTCATGGACAAGGTCGGCTCCTGGACTTCTGCACCAAGTGACGCAAGATGGGATGAAGATGGACAGCCCGTGGTGGGTAAAGAACAGGTTAGAAACTATTTAGAAAAGCTAAACGGGTACAGAATGACTTAGACAAATTGGAGGATTGGGCCACAAGAAATCTGATGAGGTTCAACAAGGACAAGTGTAAAGTCCTGCACTTGGGACGGAAGAATCCCAAGCATAGTTACAAGCTGGGGACCAACTAGTTAAGTAGTAGTTCTGCAGAAACGGACCTGGGGGTTACAGTGGATGAGAAGCTAGATATGAGTCAACAGTGTGCCCTTGTAGCCAAGAAGGCTAATGGCATATTAGGTTGCATTAAGAGGAGCATTGCCAGCAGATCCAGAGATGTCATCATTCCCCTTTATTCGGCTTTGGTGAGGCCGCATCTGGAGTATTGTGTCCAGTTCTGGGCCCCCCACTACAAAAAGGATGTGGACGCATTGGAGAGGGTCCAGCGGAGGGCAACCAAAATGATTAGGGGGCTGGAGCATATGACTTATGAGGAGAGGCTGAGGGACTTGGGTCTGTTTAGTCTGCAGAAGCGAAGAGTGAGGGGGGACTTGATAGCAGCCTTCAACTTCCTGAAGGGTGGTTCCAAAGAGGATGGAGAGAGGCTGGTCTCAGTAGTGACAGATGGCAGAACAAGGAGCAATGGTCTCAAGTTGTGGTGGGAGAGGTCCAGGTTGGATATTAGGAAAAACTATTTCACTAGGAGGGTGGTGAAGCACTGGAATGGGTTACCTAGGGAAGTAGTGGAGTCTCCATCCCTAGAGGTGTTTAAGTCTCGGCTTGACAAAGCCCTGGCCGGGTTGATTTAGTTGGAATTGGTCCTGCCTAGAGCAGGGGGATGGACTTGATGACCTTCTGAGGTCTCTTCCAGTTCTATGATTCTATGATTCTATGAAGTCAAAATAGCTTATTTTGGCTTTTGGCGCAGTCAACACAGCAGGAAGTTGACGGAAAAACACTCTTCCTTTGACTTTCCTTACTCCTTGTGGAATGAGGGCTACATGAGTCAGAGTAGAAGTCCTCCAGCTCAACCGTTATTCTGAAATAATGCTGTTGTGTAGATATAGCCTGTTTCAAGCTATGTTTTATAAAGTATTAAGCCACCTTTGTGGGAAATGCTATCAAAAATTGCCGAAATATTTTGACGAAACATCATGGACACTATCAATAGTCACAGTTCCATATTTAACTCAGCTGTATAGGGAAGAAATAAAGCAGAGGAATCCAAGTGTAGTCAGAATTGATGTTCTGCAAATGGAAGGTTCATAACAGAGTAATTCTCAATCACCTTGTTGTAAGTCTACAAATCAAATAGCCAACTTGTAGAGTGCTTAATAGGGCAGTCAATTAGTGGGCATTAATGCCTGCGATTAATGCAGGGCAAAATTAACATGTTAAAAAAATTAACACGTTAATCTCGGAAGTCAGCAAATCAGCATGAGCTGCTTCAGAGACGTCTCTGGTAAGGCGCAGTAATGCAAACCGCCACCAGAGGGCGCACGGAAAAACAAAGCAGCCAGAAAGGAGGAAAAAAACCTGAAGCCCCGGTTCTAGCTCCAGCGGAGAAGTAAACCAGAAAAGTAAAGACCCTGACACCCATCCCGCTCCCCTCCCAGGTGATCATATGTTTTAAAATAAAACAGCCGGGGGAAGAAGCGGGGGGGGCTTGCCCAAACTGTCCCTTGTCCCCCCTCCCCGCAGGGCTCATCCAAGCCACCCTCTGCCTCCTGGGGCTGGGACTGACCCTCCCACCACATCTAATTCTGGGGCTGAGTCTCCCCTCCCGAACCCTGCATTGCCCATGGTGGGGTTTACTCCCCCCAGGAGCTGACCCCTCCCCTGAGCCCTATGCCACCTGCAATTGGGGGCTGAGCCCCCTGAACTCTGCACTGCCCACGGCAGAGTCTACCCACCTCCCGCCCTGTGCTGCCCGCAGCGGGGGCTGAGCTAAAAAGGACTCTTTTGAATAGGACACAAGTATATTGATTATATAGAAGAATTTAAGTTCAGCTTTCATGATAGAATTTGCACTACAATACTTCAGTGAGGTGAAGTGAAGTTTTTTTTTACAGTATAAATGTTTTGTAGTAAAAAAAATAAACAAAGTGAGCACTATACACTTTGTATTCCATGTTGTAACTGAAATCAATATATTAGGAGATGTAGAAAACATCCAAAATATTTATATATGAAGCAGCTCATAGTATTCTTATTATTGTTTTATGATGCAATTAATCGCGCGATTATTTTTTAAAATTGTTTGACAGCCCTACTGCTTAAACTTTTGATTACACAAGATCAGTAACTGGCACTTACTTCATTTCCTCACGCTCTTGCACTGCTTCATTCCCTCTTGGCTTACTTTGTTTCCTTAACTTCCCTTAACTGCTTACTCAGTTCTTCTTGGATGTTAAAATATTTTATTCTAAAGATGAGATTAGGACATGACATATTAATTTACAAAGCTGAGTGAAACAGCTTGTGAAACAATGAGAGCTGTAGTGTGACTGTTCTTATTAGGGATGTAAATATGTAAATGACTATACAATTAACTGATAAGACTAGTCTTATCAATTAATCCTATCAAGTACACATATCCTTCCTTGCTGCCTCCATATCAGAGGCAGCAAGGGGCAGGAGGGAGCAGGAGCGGTGCCCATATGGAACCGGCTTTTAAGCCCAGGTGGGAGCAGATATGCATGGGAAGCCAGATTTTAAGCCAGCTCCGTGGACCTGACTGCTCCCCCACTTGCTACCTCCTACAGAGGCTGCTCCACCTGATACAGAGGCATCAGCACAGGGTGACAGAGGATTCCCTGGGAGTGGGGCCAGGAACGCAGCATCTGGTTTTCAGTGAAGTCTTGCTTTTTAGCCACTATCATTTTTACATCAGTCTGTTTCTAAAATGGCTAGTAGCAAAAACAACAACAAAAACCCAGCAAAAAAACCAAAACAAAACAAAAAACAATTACTGATTTACCTAGGTTCTATGCTTGGGAAAGCTGCATTGTATGCATAATATTCATAATTGCATTAAAAACAAATCTTCAGAAAAAAATTTCTGCTCAGTCAGCTCTACCATTTCTTATTCAGAATTAAAGAACAGCTGAAGCAAGACTGCCAAACTTGATTCCTTTTTTTCCTTAGCATTTTCAAATATTTGCAATTGGTTTGTCCCCCTTAGTTGTCTCTTAGGCTATGTCTACTCTACCAGGTTATTTTGAAATAAGTTATTTCAAAATAATACCACCTGAAATAACTATTTCTAAATAGCACATCCACACGGCAGGGAAGCCTCAAAATTAGTCTGAGGCAGGCTCCCTTAATGTGCTATCTCAGCTTAGAGCCTCAGGAAGCTCTGTGGAGTAATTACTTTGAAAGACTCTGGAGAGTAGTTATTTCAAAATCACAGCAAATGAGCATCCACACTAACCCTATTTTGAAACAGCAATTTTGAAATAATTTAGAAATAATGGGCTTATTGTGTGGATGCTCACCTTGTTATTTCAAAAATAACTCTGTAGTGTAGACCTGCCTTCAGACATGTTAAACACATCAGACACGTTGTATAAACATTTGCTGAACAGTCTATCCCCAAGTAAACCTCAGTTATTTTAGTTTTTTTCATCTTTCCTCATAAATCAGAATCTTCAGCCACTAATTGTTTTTTACTCTTCTCAAAGTGTTCACTTTGTTAATATTTTTTTCTTAATATAGTATCTAGAATAAAAAACTATTTTCAAAGTATGGTCACACCAAGAGATGAATGGAAAGGGAAAATATCACCTTCTATCCACATGACACTTCTAATTATGCAACCGCACATTGTATTGGACCTTTTTGCATCTATGTCCCATTGAAAACTCAAATTAATTTGTTATCTACTCTTATTCCTTTGTTTTTTGGTATTATAGTTTGTGATTTCTTTTGAATATTTGTGGTGTGGATAATTTATTACATTACCTTTTCCAAGATAATTAATTAATAGGATATAATCTATTAGTTGGTATCAGAATATTACTTTGACCTCTCTCACAACAGCTGAATCTTTACTGAACTTAAGTGTTTCAAAACTGTTGTGAAAACATAGTTTATGGAGGCAATAGGCAAGTCTGGTGACTGCTGGGAGTTGCAATGCAATTACTACTTCCATTTTAGGCAAGTCAGTGGTTACAGTAGATCATAGGAGAAACACAGTAGCCCAGCAGGGTGCCAAGACCTTCAAAATCCATGATGCATATGAGGTTATCTAAATGCTGAGTATCATGCCAATACACGTGCATAGTTTACAAACAGAAAAATAACCAACAAAGATTGTTGTGCAGCTAAATGAAAACCAACTGCTCTAAAACCACTGATTTTGAACACTCTTGCTGCAAGAATAAAATGGAATACTAAAAAAAAAAAAATTCCAATTCATACAGAACAGAAAAGAAAGTCAACTTAAATTACAGTTAGGTCTCAATTTAGGAAAGCCTTTCTTTTCAGGAAAACATCTTAACACATGTATTACTTTAAGTACCTGCTTAAAACCTTTTTGAGTGTTAAAAGTTAATCATTTTGAACACTCTTGCTGCAAGAATAAAATGGAATACTAAAAAAAAAAAAATTCCAATTCATACAGAACAGAAAAGAAAGTCAACTTAAATTACAGTTAGGTCTCAATTTAGGAAAGCCTTTCTTTTCAGGAAAACATCTTAACACATGTATTACTTTAAGTACCTGCTTAAAACCTTTTTGAGTGTTAAAAGTTAATCACATACT